GTTGTTTGGTTTGTGGGAAATACCTGTCCCTCAGAAGGAGCTTTTGAGGTGGGGCATGCACACTTACTGGGTTGACCCAAGAATCCTATCAACCCTTTTATGCCTCATCTCCCCAGTTTGTGAAATAAACATAGATTCCTTGATCAGTGCTGGCGACTGCCTGACCCAATGTGTCTTAATCGTTTCCCCTGCAGGATGAAGTGGACCCAAAGAGAAAGAAGACAGAAAATGGCTCCTCCGCTTGATCCCCTCCCCTCCATCCACATCCTCTTTTCCATGCCCACCTGTCCTCCCGCCTTCATTCCTTCACCTGTGCAGGCACCCATTTCAGTGCTGTCATTGCAGACGAGGAAGAGGAGGAGTTAAATGTGGTCTCTGGCAAGGACAGAGGAAGATGCTGAAGACTGTTCTTCTCCAGCTCTTGAGATCTGTTCCATATTACAGTGCTCCCTCCTTCCTTCCCCCCCCCAATCCCCTAGCTCCTGGCTTGTCCACCTCCGTCCGCCATAATGCCTGGAAAGGCTGTTTTCTCCTTCCTTTTCCCAACCCCATGCCCCCCTTATGATTGCTGCCTAATGGGAGATCCTCACATGCCTCTGCTTACAACACCTCTTTTGCAAACTATTCCCTGCCCTGGAGACCCTCTTCCCCTTTCCCCTTCTCTCTTCAGCTCCTTACAGAGTTCCACAGAAATGTGGGCATTTTATGGTGCTGTAGAAGGGGTGAAATCCAGGTGGTTGAAGGGCAGGGAATCTTGCAGGGATGTGTTCCCGTCCTGCGCCTGGTTCCCTTTCTGTTTCTGGGGAAAGGCAAATAATAACAACAATATTACAACGAAACATGTTTTAAGTAAAACGTATTGACAGTTTTTAATTAATACATTTTGTACAAATTTACATGGGCAGGCAGCAAGCTGAATCTGGTGAAACTTTTTTTTCTTCCAGAAGGCAAAGCTTGTTTTTAATGTGTAAAGTAATATGTTATTCAGTGTGTTTCCTCATTCTGGGTGTTTGCTTTTTTAAAATTAGGGACCAGATTTTGATTTCTCCCTTGTTCCCTGTTTTCTTTGGTTCTGCTCTTTATAAATTAAAGCAGTCCCATCTGCAGTATTTTCTAATGGCACAGACATTATGAGGATGAAAAATATAAATATATATATTGTTTAGCACTGTAAATAAAGACCTTTCAAAAAGTTGTTGAACAGTCCATGCTTGTCTGTGGTGTTAATTCTAATACCTCTGATTTAAGATGGGGCTAATTTGACAGAGTACGTGAATTGACAAAGTTTGTTTGTTTTAAAGAAAAAAAGTCTATTAAATTTGTGTCTTGATTTTACATGGCCCTAACTGTGGCTTCTTGTCCAAGAAACTGATCTGCAGTGATACAGCATTACATCAGGTGTTTCCAGTCTGCTCTCTGCACTCATTGTTCTGGTTTCATTTTCAAAACATACAGTACATGAAAAACACAAGACTTTACAAGACTCTCATGATTCTTCAATTAAGCAGAGGGAAAGTCTGTTGCAGCAAAAAGAAAGGTGTGACACCCTAAAGACCAATAGATTGCTTTTTAAAATAACATTTCATTGACTTCCTTGCATGCACACGTGCCCCCCCCCATTAGCAGATGGCATATGTGGATGCAGTGGAAAAATGCTAAAGAGTAGAGTAAAAAGCCATGAAATGTAAAAAAGCTGGAGGAAAGACCCCTGCTGGCTCAGGCTGAAGGCTTGATGATCTAGTCTCAAGTCCTCTTTCTAAGAGAGACTGACCAGATGTAGCAAATTCTTGGGTTTGTTTCTTCCTATTTATATGGTCTGAAAAAATAAATTTATCTGTCATGAATCTATTCCTATCGGGGGGATCCTCAGTTTTATTACTAAGAAGAAAAACAAGCATCTGTTCTCTTCCTCCATACCGTGGATGAAGTCCAAGATTCCTGCAGACCCCGAATGCCCAGGAATGAGCAATCCACGCACAGGAATGGGTGAAAATGGCACTGCTTCACATTATTCTTTACCAATCCCATATATGTAGGCTGTTAACTTATTCAGTATTTGCATACACATGAAACTCCCAGCTGCAGCAGCTGCTGTGGCAATGTGACCAGGTTCCATTCATACACAACCTGCCACACAGTGGGCACCCTGTCAGGTCACCTAGCAGCTTCTGCACGTGAATTTCAGTGAAGTCTAAATCAGGTGAAATCAAAACTGGTTGAGGAATCCCAGTTCAAGAACTCCATCCTGCAACTTTGTTTTGAAGTTTCTGGAGTGAAATGTATGAACTCCCATGTGTTTAATTTGTGGTGGGGTGAGCTCCCTAACAACCTTAGGTCAGTTAAGATATATGATGCTGTTCTACTCTTGAAATTGGTAGATTAGTGACCCTGAGTGATCCCTGCTTTGAAGAGGGTGGCATGCATATAGAATGTACAGTGGTGCCCCACATAGCGAGGTTAATCCGTTCCGGATTAACTGTCGCTATGGGGAAACATCACTATATGGAACGAAAAATGCCATAGAAACGCATGGGCGGCCATTTTCTGCACCCGGCGGCCATTTTGGAACCGCCGATCAGCTGTTCCCAAAATGGCCGCCAGGTGCAGAAATGGTCACAATGCGATGTTTAGCCTATCTAAACATCGCAATGCGATCGCATTAGCGACCCCAAAAAACTTCGTTAAACAGTGCGCTCGTTAAGCGAGGCACCACTGTATAAGGGAAACACCAGAGCTATGGCTGCTTGTACAATTCTTTCCTTTTGCTTGGGAAAGAAAATGGCCGCGGTGGCCATTTGAAGAAGAGGAGAGACGTCTGGCACACATCTGAATAGTACTGGGTTAGGGATACCTGGTTGTATCATGGTCTAACTCGCTGTAAAGCTGCTTTTTGTATGTGTAGAAATACAGAAAAACTTTACGGCTGCTAATACTGTAATTTAAAGGGGCAACTCCCTGGGCCAGTCGCAGTAAAGCAACAACAGATCCAAGCGGGAGCTTAAAGACTAACAAATGTGTTTAGGCACAGACATCTATGGACAGGAATGCATGAAATCAGATGCTGGCCCCTGAAAGCTTCTGCTATAATGAAGTTGTTAGGCTTTAAGCAGGCACAAGGCTGTCGGCCTTGTCTATTTAGTGAATCCATTTTTTTAAACTGCTGTGTAACAGAACAATCCACCAGAGAGAGAAAAAGGAAGCAGCCATCAATCACTTCTCACTGGGCCCTGGAGCCAACTCCAGCTACCACGGACAGCTGTTGCCAAAGCCATCAGGGGATGATGAAGCTGTTGGCTTCCCCTTGTGTTGAAAGAGATCCGTTTCCACCATGTGCTGAATTAAGACCTGCCATACAGAGGGGGGAGAGGGCTCTGGTGAATCAAATGTCAAGCATTCTAAGTGAGAAAGACATGAATGGTGGTCAGTGACCATCAAGCTCCATAGAGTTGTCTGAGCAAAGTTTATGGAATGGATGGCAATATCTGTACAGTACTTAGTTATAGTAGGACCCCCTGTATCCGTGGGAGATCTCTTCCATGATCCACCACAACTGTCTGAAACTGCACATGGCAGTGAATCCTGTACTATATACAACATACAAACAGGGAAGACAAAGGCCCCAAGGCCTGGCCTTTTGTATGTTATATATAGGAGCTGTGGTAAACTGGATACCAATCCCATGAACAAGGTGTCCTACTGTACTACATTTGTGGTGACAGTGATCAATGCCTTTCAAGCATGGATTATATTGCATAACAAGCCAATGAGGCCTTGGCTTAGAAACCTTGATTTCCACAAGACAGCATTTAAGCAGACTTACTTCCCCCCTTTTAAAAACCTACAACTTTGAGGAGTTCTGTTTATGGCTTGGCTTACCATCGTCATAATACAGTGCAAGTTTTAACTGTGATCATGTCAGCTCTGTGGGGGGGGGGAGTGATTAAAATAGCCATAATCCTGTTGCTTGGTGTAGTCAATCACACTAGAGTAGGCCCACTGAGTTATTGGGGACTTCTTGGGTCAACTGCTCTGTATGTTTCATTGATTCAAAGGGGCCTAATCTAACTGCTACTTAATTTAGCATAGTAAATCACAATTAGAGTAGGCCCAATTGAATCAATTATAGTTACAGAGCAAATGACTTGCTAAATCTCCATTAAGTCATTAACAAATGTAATACTTATGCTGTTATCTACTGTTCTTTTCTTCAGAACCACTAGGGCCACCTTTCATCACAAGACTCAAAGGTAAAAATGTTCATATTCCTTATATTAACACATATGGTTCCTCTGCTATCTTCCTTTACTTTTATATCTATTTCTTTTCCCTCCTTCCCCCCTCTGGGATTTTTAACTGATATCCTTATTCCTCTCAACATCAGCAGTGCAGGACTGCAACCACTAGGTGATATCATTTTGGCTTTAATCTGCCCCCAATGGGCTAAACTTAGTGAGTTTACTAAATTATCCCTCCCATTCTCTTATGGAGGACTTGGGTTTTCTGTGTAACCCCCCTAGCCAAGCAGAAACATGTCTGTTTAAAAAAAAAAAAGACCGCATGGGGAGGTGTGGTGTGCGCACATGGATGGCCTGTGGTGCTTTATTTGAACAACTGGGTTGTTACACTCAACCCACCTTTGCTTCAGCTGTAACTATAAAACAGCAACCCTGCAATTTCCTGACTTACATCTAAGAGAGACGCGCCTGGCGAATTCTATCTTGTCAAGAACTTTTGGACTTTACATCTAAAAGTAATTTTCCTGGCAAACTACATCTTGCCATGAACATTTGGACTTTAAGTTCTTCACACTGGTTCACGCCTTATGAAGTCGAGCTTTAATCCACAAAAGTTCATCAACTGTATGATGATTTTGTAGTGGTCTATAGTCATTGTAGATCACAAGCTGAATAGGAGCCAACAGTGTGATGTGGCTACAAAAAAAAGGCAAATGCTAGTTTAGGCTGCATTAACAGAAGTATGTTCTCCAAATCCCATGAGGTAGTAGTTCCCCTCTATTTGGCACTGCTTAGGCCTCGTCTTGTTCTGTGGCCAGCTCTGGACACCACACTTCAAGAAGAATGCTAACAAATTGAAACAAGTTCAGAGGAGAGCGACAAGGGTGATCAGGGGACTGGAAACCAAGCCTTATGAGGAAAGACTGAAAGAACTGGGCATGTTTAGCCTTGAGGAAAGAAGACTGAGGGAAGATATGATAACACTTTTCAAATATGTGAAAGGCTGTCGTACAGAGAAGGTCAGGATCTGCAGTATTCTCAGTCATCCTGGAGTGCAGGACACTCAGCAATGGACTCAAGTTACTGTAAAACAATTTAAGTTGAATATCAGGAAAAAATTCCTAACTGTTAGAGCAGTAAGACAGTGGCTGTAAAACAGATTTAAGTTGAATATCAGGAAAAATTTCCTAACTGTTAGAGCAGTAAGACAGTGGAACCAATTACCTCGAGAGGTGGTGAGTGCTCCAACACTGGAGGCATTCAAGAGAAATGTAGATAACCATGTGACAAATATTTCTATTTCTGCATTGAGCATGGGATTGGACTTGATGGCTTTATAGTCCCCTTCCAAATTCTGTATCCTCTGATTCAATGATAAAGGTATTGCCTAGTTTTGTATTTGCATTTTATTTTGTTTGGACCACACAGCTACCCTTTATTTCAATCCTTATTCGTGTTAGTCTTCACTAACCCAGCCCACTCTTCTCCCTCTTCTTTTTTGCCATTTCCTGATTATGTTTTCTGTCTCCTGTGGGAAATTTTACAATAGAACTGAATACCAAACATAGGCCATGAATTACTGCAAGTGAGATGTAACGCCACACCCAAGACTCTTAAAGCCAATGAATGTTTTGAATGTTTTATTTGTGAATTCAGTATTTCATTCCATATGTCCGAAGAAGTGGATGTGATCCACAAAAGCTCACATTAAAATATAATAGTCTGATAGTTTGCCACATGTTTTTGTCTTTTTCTTTTTTGCTCTTTTTTTTCCTCTTTGTATTTTGCCTGATAAATCTCCGTTGATAGAAATGGGCCTTCTCTAATGCAAAACGACAGGATTTTGGCCAATAAGAGTTTGGGCATGTGCTTTGATTTCTAAAATAAGAAGGAAGTGCCTAACTAGTGGTCTTTCAAGAGCCCAGAGTTCCAGGTGTTCCAAGGGCAGAGGGAAGGTTAGGAATTGCTTGA